TGTATCAGCGCACCCGCGCTGTCTCTGATTGTCTCACTGACGCCAGGTTTTCTGGGACCAGTGGTGCGGATTAACTGGAAGAGCTTGGGGTAATTGCTTACTGCTCCTGCCTCCCCCATTTCTTGAGTCCTACTGGTCCACCAGGCTTCCTTGTCAGCATGTAAGCTGCGCCTTAATTCACGCCTAATAGCCCGTCTGGTCACATTGTGTTCAGAGCCAGCCGGTAGGTGCTTCTAGATTCAAACAGGTTCACCGATCTCTCAGATATACAGTGACTGGTGCGGTGACGATTGATAATGCCACAAGCAGATGCTCCTGCGTCGTGCAAGGCGGCCGGGATCCCATTCCACTGAAGCGCAACGTCATTAGTACAAGACCGTGGAAGTTTAGTATGCAGTGCGTCTTGATAGGCTTGCGTGACCGAGGACTGAGACGATTTCTCCGTTGCCAATCGGAGGAGACGCTTTGTGCGCCCTCCGGTAAAGTTCATGGAGAAACGACAACGTACGAAGGCATGATCAGAGTCAACACAGGTACTCCAGTACGAGCGGCAATCCAGGATGGAACCACGCCATCTATATTTTTTGGCAATGTGATACATTTGTCTTCATCGCTGGCCAGCTACAGGAGGACGCCAAGTGGCACTTCAGCGCCCATTGTGTTTAAAAGCAGTGCTACTAAGCAACAACTGGTGCTCCGCACACAGTTGCAACAGACGCATGCCGTTGTCAGTCCATTCGGAGTTAAGTCCATACTACCACCAAGATGAGCTTCTGAAGAGCTCAGACGCCCTACTTGTGTGTTCATATCCCCTGCAAGTACTATAATATCTGAACTAATAGCACTGCGTAGTAACGTGTTCAGTTCGTGATAGAATGTGTCTTTGACTGCATTGGAACTGCTGTCGGTGGGAGCACAAACGAAAAGCACAAACAAACGGCGTTTTGTACTACTTCGTGAATCAACCTTAGCTGATGTCGTCAAACGGGCTGCCCATAAACGACTGTTCACCGGAATCCAATCAACCAACGATGACTCAGCCTTGCAGCTGAGAATGATACCTACACCAGCTTGACCCGTGAGTGCCGCATCGGCGTCTCCGGATGTGTGCAACCAATAACGAGAGGATAAGCCGAGTGCAGTCAATTCAATAACCCCGTTAGGGTCATTAATCCTAGTTTTGGACACACAACACACATCAACACCCAGTGTGTCCAAGGTGCGTGCGAGTGCAGCCTGCTGACCTGTTTGTCTTAGAGTGCGGGCGTTGAATGTCGTCATGGAAACGGGACAGCGTGGCATTATAAGGGACTTTTGCCGATAGGCGTACAATAGGTGCTGTAGGATGGCGGCTGCAGATGGTACTACTTCAGTGGCATTTCGGTTGCTGTCAGTTAAGCTGGGAATTATAGAAGGAAGGTTAGCAATGGGGGTCGGGATAGGAGTAAGAGAAAAAGGTGGAAAAGAAAGAAGGGTGGCGCCAGCAGTAGCATGTTTTCGCTTTTCCGCCCTGCTGTATGCAGCAGATAAGGCGACCCTTGATAATCTGCGCGACGGCCGATGCAGGATGAAGTTTATGTTTGAAGAAAATGTCATGGTTTTGTGTGGGCTGAGATACTCTCAGGGCGCCCAGACCTAGACAGGAGGACGATTAAGGTCCTCATCCGCAAGGCAGCGGAGAGGTGGCAATGATTTAGTTTTACAGAAATGGACGCCATCCCATTTCAAACCCCCAACCTGGAGGACCAAGAGACTGAGTTTGTCTGACCTCTCACCATTGACCAACTTGGTAGGAGTAACTCTCAAGATGCTCGGAGGCATCACCCAGTATAGCTCAATGGGTCAATGAGGTACGCAAACCCTCGCACCACGTTAAGGTCCAGTCTCGTTGCGACGGATCCAGTCTCGTTGCGTCCTAGAACCGACGCCTGAGAAACACACTTAGGACGGCTGGTCTGAAAGACAGCCTGGAACCCACTCGAATGCTCATCTGCCTAACTTCTAAGGAAGCCGAAATCTATTTATTACTTTGATTTCAGTTTAAACAAAAACGACAACGCGAGACGGAGTCAAATGCTTCAGGAAAATAAATGAACACAGCGTCCACCGCCTTTCCTAGATCCACAGCCGCAGCCCAGCACTCACAAGCTCCTAAAAGTTTAGTTCAACGGATCCCATGTTGAGACGAGCCTAGCAAGCTGAACATAGCCGAGTGGTTTTTGAGGGCATCTCTTACCAGCTTCTCTGATACTTTAACTAGTACACTTGGGAGGCTAACCGGTCTGTCATTTTAAGGTAGGTGTTTATCACGCTTTTTAAAAACAGGGCACACGATATCATCTTCACAGTCGGCAGGTAGGAAGCAGCTACGAAGTGACTTCTCAAAGAGACATGTAATCAGTTTACACAGTAACTTAGCCAGCTCGTACAAAAGCTTGGGATAGGTGGCATCTTTCCCGGAAGCTTTAGTAGGATTCAGGTCACGCAGTAGCTTGAGTAGCTGAGCTTCTGTGATGGAAGTATCCGTCAGGAAGGAATCCGCCGGGACCTTTGTATCTAAGTCTCTATTCTGTAATGAAGTTTCGTGAACAAACGACCTTGCATGTACTTCAGCAAGTAAACAGGCGCTGTCCTGATCGGTTGTTGCTTCAGTGCCTACAAATACAAACAGTACAGGGATGGTCGAATTTGTATTGCATCACCGTTTGAGGTATCCAAAAAACCGTTTGGGGTTTGTTGATGCGGATCGAGCCAGCTGTAGTTAATACCTCAGACGTGCGACCCACAGATGTATTTCGCACGTCTCTGTACTTTCCGAGGGAGTTGATACGTAATTTCTCCAACCTCTGGATGGCCTGCTGAGCATCCTACGCACCTGAGTCAAACCAAGACGGTTTTGCCCCCACTTTGTTTCTCACTGAGACTGGGAAATGAGACAGACAACAAATAAAGAACTTGAATTTGTCCCAAACAACCTGGACGTTATCATCCTCCGAGATGATGCAGGGTTGGTTTGCAACCTAGTCCCTGATAGCTTAAAAATCTGCGCGCCTGTTATTTGAGCTCAGTACTTTATTCTTCACGGCTTCGACTTAGGGCGCAATGGAATAATAAGCACAAATAATCACTAGCGCCCAAGAGGGAATCGTGAAATAGATCACGTATAAAGTCCATCGACGTTGCAAACATAAGGATTAAAAGAGGGGGTTTTGGTCCTCCATGAACCTAGTTGGCCCTTGTACAAACTGACAGGAAAGCTTGTAAGGAAGGGTCATGAAAGTTTGTGGAAAACACTCTGACACTGTTGTGCATAAGCAATTTTTCCAATCAACCTCAGGAACATTAAAATCATCTATAACCAGACATCTATAGGTCGTAAAATTACGAAATAAATCAATAAACCAGCCTGACAGTTTCGGGGCTTCCGTAGTCTAACACAATTTTGAACTGCGTGAAAGAGGTGCATACATCCACCAAAAGGGTCCAAGGAGTTACAGTAGGGGAATTAACCAAATGTTAGTAGAATAGATAAAGTACATTTGATGTACAAGCCAACTTCAGCCAAACGAAAGCATGGGGTGTGATCAGCTCGCAGTAGAGTATAGCCTGGTAGACATATTTCCCTGTCCAGGATGTCAAAGAACGGCTAGGACTCAGAAAAAGCAAGTACCTTTAATAAAATAAATAATGAAAAGGGTGTCAGCTGTACGCCGTAACGGCGCTTCGCTGCCGTGCGACCAGCACGTCGTTCGCGAGTAGAATATACCACGGGGAGGTCTAACCCTACACGGATCCGAAACCAATCCGCATGATTACCAGACAAATTCGTTAGCTCTAGGCTACGGGCCGAGTTTTCTATAAGAGTGCCAATCTCGCACATCTTGTTCCTCAGACTACGCACGTTGCTGAGGACTGCTTTAGCGAAATTGGGATCGTGAGCAGGGGATCGTGTGCCACCAGAACGGGCTCTGGAAGGGTGGGAATAAACCTCCGGTTCGCCATCCGAAAACCCTCTACTTAAAGACCCATTACACCCGCCACCCGACGTGCACTTAGGTTCATTATGGCGGCTTTTAATTTTAACCCATCAGCCAAACGGAGCGCAGGTAGAATACTTACCCCAACAACTTTAAGTTTAAAAGTGAAACGCAGACGTGCCTTATGTTCAACCGGTGTTGAAAGAACAACTCACAGTAAACGGGGTTTGACGTCCCACTCATCGACCGGCACAGACCAGTACCTAATTAGTTTCTGTATAATTACGCCAGCAAACCAGAGCGGTTGGAGTTTAGAAACGCAAAAGTTAAACCACTGAAAGTCATCCGCCCGTCCTTCGGAAGGGCGGCGGTGGACTCCGGTACATTCCTGATAATGACACTACTATCAGAGTAAGAGTCACTGCGGCGAGAAATGCCTACTCCACACGCTATAGCCGTGGGAGCCTGCAATTGGGTGGCTGGCTGCTTGGATGCACTAGCAGCGTTGGACGTGTCTTTGGGTTGAGAGACCGAGGAATTTAATAGTGATGGCTCTGAAACCGACGTGCCTACCAGACATTCTGTGCACTCCGTTACTACCGCAAGTTACAACTTACGAGTTTCTTTGAGCTGCTCCGCCTACGCAACACTTCGTTAATAACAGCTGAATCACGCACTCCCTCACACTGTGCTTCAACAACTAACACACAATCAGTTGTGGGATAAGGAGTAACATCGACGGAATCCATTTTCGATCTACTATGCGCCATTATTGCTTGGCTGAGAACACCCGAAGGAGTTAGTCGCTCTACTTACCCTTCAACGTCCCCATCCCAAGACGTCAAAAGCATAGACAAGACTTCTTATTAAGAAAATGCTGATCACGACCCCACACCGCGACGGTTGTAAGACACTACATAATACGTGCATATAAGTAGCGTAAATATAAATAGACGTCGGCCGCCGCTTCGAAATGGAGGCATACAATGAACAGATGCAGTAGATACAAAAATGAACACTAACCTTTAATAATGCGGATCGCAGTTGTCATGCATTCACGTGCATCTTGAAGTGCCGATGATAAAACCATGAGATTTCCAGCCGAAAATACTGACAGACATCAGCAGTAACCGAAAACTCCAACCAATATCGCGTCAAGATGAAAGTCCATTCTCGGCCAAAAAATGACCTTCAATGGCCTTGTAAAACAGGTAGTGACCAATTTTATTGTCCGAGGCAGATTCAGGTTTATTAGGAGCGAAAAGAAAAATTTCCGTGTGCGCTCTATTAAAAGTGAAACAGATGGCATTCCAGGTGCACCGAGGGGCAAGCGGTTGATTAGTTGTTGGGTGGTTGGAGTGCCGCTGAGACCTCTTCATTTTAGCACCGATCAGCAAAATACAAGTCCAACCCTTTTTAAATTGGTCGATGGTATTAGATTGCACAATCTTCGATAGTAGCCGATGCCAATAAGGCACGACCCTTAGTGCAAAACAGTAAACATTCTTCACATTGTCCAATTGTTTTAGTTCTAGCTTGCGTTGGTGCCCCGGTAATGCTGGTTTCATTGAGTGTAACCAGAGGACGAAGGCTCGGTTATTTTCCCATCCGTAATACTGGAAAACGGTTATGAGTTCCATTCTTAGTATTCGGTATTCTAGAGTATGCCACTTTAATCTTTGATATCTGCCAGTGTAATCCAGTGTAGGAAGCGAAGGAAAAAGCCGCGAAGCCAACCGTTGCACCCTCTCAAGCGTACTGGCTTCATCCAGCGTAAACGGATAGTAAGCTGGTGCGCCGTATTTCAAGAGAGAACGTATTAGTGCTGGGCAAACCTTAAGGACTAGTTCCTCCGTCCGTATATGGAAACTACTTTTTACTGCCCAGAATACCCAGAAGCCTGATCGGTACGCCTTTTTGGTATGAGCACATGACTTGAAGTCTCCGAGTGACAACACTCCCAGAGCCCGGACGCACATAACCGCGGTTAGTTGTTTTTCATTCAACATTATGAACATTCATGGCTGTCACTCGATGCTCAGAAATTGGCACTTCGTGTAGTTAGTGGACAATTTCCGTTGTTGCGACTAAACAACGAGCTGATCCACTTCTTGTTGACTTATGCCATGGTGCTCTGCCCCTCGGATCTCAAGCCATACTTTGAGGTCTGCAGCAAATAACCCAAAAGACGACCTCAGCCTTTCATACACATCGTTGACATGTACAAGAAAAAGGACAGGTCATAAAGTCGTACTCTGGCGTACGCCACTCGGAGAGGAAAACCAATCAGTACAGTAATTGCTTACATTAACCCGCCAAACCCTTGCATTAACGAACGTTTGTTCCACCGAAAATGTGCGCCACCGACCCCCTAGGTTCTAAGTCGGTTGCGCATTTCAGCGTGATCACCTCTTTCGAAAGCTATGCTGAAAGCAACCAGGATGATGTCAAATCCGAAGTCATCATTTAACGCCCTCAACCGGTGTAGCCACGTCACAAGCAAGTTCGTCACACATGAACGTTTGCTCAAAAACCTATGTTGAGCTGCGTTGAGGATTCCACCCTTTTCTACCAGCTACAAATATGCCTTTTTCACTATCCTTTCCAAGACCTATGCAATCATTGACATCAGACAAATTGGCCGATAAGTTAGGGTTTTTGCGGGTTACCTCCTAACGGGATTGGTTTCACAACCGATTCCTTCCATTCCCGAGGAACCAATCCCTGACTCAGAGATTTACTGAACAGATCAGAGCGGGTAGTAACTACCACAGGAGCCAGTGATTTCAACATTAAAAGCTGAAAACTATCCGGTCCAGAAGATTTGGACGTAACAAGAGCTTCAAGCAGGTTAGTGATTTCTTCAACCGTGCACCACAAGTCTTCTATTACTAGACGTAAGCTAGTTGTATCGGTCCAGTGAAGTGACTGGCAGGGAGAGAATACGGTGGCGAAGTGAGAAGCTGGAAGCGACGCTTTCCCTTCATCTGAAAACCTTAGTTGTCTGTGGGAATTTTCAAGTGTGGAAGACGAAGCCTTCGGTTTAAGAAGTCGGTTTATTTAGAGGCCATTTGGCAGAATCCACTAGCGACAATTCATAAGCTGTGCCTTTCGTCAGCTTGAAAGCAGTACATAAGTTACGCTGGGTTTTGTAGGCCACATAGTCATGTGCAGCCATGGTATCGCCATATTTCTTCCGCAACCTCTTACAGTGCCTGGCTAACTGACAAAATTTTGATCGTACCATGGTGGTGACGTAGGATTTTTGTATTGTCTCTAAGCAGAATTAAGTTCTCGCATAGCGAATTAAGTTTGTCGCTGAGACTTGACCAGGAGGACTCGACTGAGTCACCCTGCGGAAGAAACCAATAAAACGATTCTGTCTCCCGGCGCATACCTGCAAACTCATCCTTCCAAACTTTACAACCTGGTGTCCGATCAGGGTCGTGTGATTGCGGGAGATTCAGTCTGGCTAAGGCGACCATGTGATCGCCCTTTCCACTCGGCTATCGTAGCGTTGTGAGACACACAGGTTGTTCGGAATTGGTCAATATAAGATCCATGCAAACTAGAGGTTGTCAGGAGTACCGTCAAGTAAGCTCTTGAAAGTGCTGAACCGGACCCTCTTCGAGCACCATGTTCAAGAACATGTGCCCAACCAGGCCACTTCTTAGTAAGCAGTCATAGGCCTTCCAGTAAAGATGCGGGAAATTGAAGTCAAGCGTTAAAACTAAGTTACCTCCCGGAACATGTGTACCAAGGGCTTCAATAAGATAGTTGATAATATTCACGGGACGCTGATACACAATTCCGAGGTGATGTGTCCCTTGAACTGCTTGTGGCTGGTACCAGAATTTTTAGAGTCCGTCACAACTTAGGTAGTAATTTATAATACAGCTTTTCATACAGAACCTGGTGTACAGCAGCACGCCACAATGTGGATGCAATTTACGATCACAGCGAAAACGAACGCATTCGGCAAGCTTTAGTTCCTTATCCAGCACTCCGATATAAAGCCAGGTATCCGCAAGCCATAAAACGTCCGGCTTTTCTTGAAGGACCTAATGTTGTGTATAGTGCCGTTTGTTAATCAGGCTGCGCACCTTCGTGAACGCGCTCCAGCGGCCTCTTGCGACATCAGTAGGAAAGGTTTGCGGATGAAAGGCTGCTAGCGAAGTACACGATAAGTTATGATTCGTAGCTGGATTTCACCGGCTTGCACTCGGCGTGGAAGCTTCAGAGCATTCCTTTTGAGTAGATTACGCTGTTATGGGTCAATATCGGGAAGTATGTGAATTTTCCTTCCAGAATGCTTTGTATCGGTCGCGGATGATAGCTTGAACGCTGGCTAAGACGAATAATGCGCTTCATTCCCATGCCGGCTTATTCGTACCTAGCAGTTTGTCGACCAATCACTGCAGGAATTCTAGGTTGTGGTTATCCCTGGCTTGAGGGCCGCAGTCGAACGACTCTGGAGCTTAGAATACCATAAGGCGATTCATCCGAGGCACAACGTCGTGCCTATTGATAGGCCTCCCTAGTTCAGCATTAGAGGTTGTCGTTTGAGGCTGGGGCAATAGACCTTCATTTCGTGGCGCGGGTGAATTTTGCGTGCGGTAGCTTATCCACGCTGTCTGATGGTTCTGGTTGACGCAAATTCGGTTTCTATCCTCAGGTGTGGTGCTTGCTTTATCTGGTGGAGCAGCTGACCATGGGCGGTCACTGCTAGTGGATGTTGACAGCACCACGCATTGTTGCAGGCTGTGCTGACTGTGTGACTCATCTACTTTTGGAGGCCTAGACATTTAACAGAGGCCCAGTTCGCAGGAGTTTCCTTGCCCGCTCTCAATAACCCGGAAGTTGCGGGAACTTGATGTGGTGCAATTACAGGTGGTGCAACGAAACAGCATGTGGTAACACTAGTGGATTGTTAAGGCGTTGTATGATTCCGTGCTCATTGACGCGCCACGTACGTATTCCCACTTCATGAACTGATGACCAGGTGTTTGTACAGAACGGGTGCTTTACATATTACACACTGAGCAAAAGGCATAAATGAGAATAAATAAATAAATAATTATTTTATTCTCGACTATGCGAGGCACGCTCGTGGAGGCATGATCAGATATGTACAACGGTACAAACATTTTAATGCAATTGTAACAGTAACGTAGAAAATTGTTCATATATCCATGATTGGAACTGTACAATGTTGAAAATGCGAAACAATAAGTTGGTTGTCATGAGATACGGGACCTCAGCTAATAAGAGATTGAGAATCCTGAATGATCCATTGAAAGGTAATGGAAGAGCCCGCACACAAGGAAGGAAAAAGGCAACGTATCGTAGGATGTAAAACGACAACAGTATATACAGATGTAGAAGTCCCAGTGTAACGATCCTATGTAGAATTGTGACGCTAGTTGACCTGCCAGTGTAAAGTTATGGGCTGTGACTTTATTCGGTGGCGAGTCACATACGCCACGTTGCAGTGTTGTTAAACGGACATTTGTGGCTTTTTGTAGGGAGAACGCTTGCCAGGCGAAAACCCACCACGTCCTGGAACACTGCCACCAATCCATTGAATGGCAAATTGTAACTGACTATGTTTCTTGTTGAAAGTCTGCTCGGTTATTCGCAGTCAGGATGCGTCCTATTTTTTCCGCTTGTTGATGCAATAACTGGTTGCCTATTGCGTTCCTGGGTCCTGTCCATTGGTAGGTCGGGTACTAAACATTCTTATTGAAAATGATGTGTTGATCCTTCGCAGAACCAAGTGAAGTCTTCCCTGATTATGTATATTTGCAGGGGAGCGAAGAATTCGTGTCCAGCTACCCTCACTGGACATCGGTAGTTGGGTGCAAATAGTTAGAGTGGAAGTGAAGCCATGGTCCAGGTAAGTATTTGTTGGTTATTTCGTCTTATCCCAGACGGAGGCAGTTCCTCAGTTCAATCCCGAAGCTCTCCGATGTTCACGACCTCAGAGAAAAGGCAGAGAGGAACAAGCCGAGAGAAGACCGAAAAGGAACAGTCAATGTACCTAGCGTTTGATCAAAATCCTACATTAAGACATTTATTTGAGACAACTAG